GAGAGAGAGAGAGAGGCAGTCGCTCCATATATCGGTTGTTAAGCTTAACGTGGGAATGCTTTAGAAACATTCAGAGATGAACTTACACACTTGCTTTACTTCTGTCTGAGATAACTTCCTCGGAGATGAAATGTTTGCTAGCAGGCTACAAATACACACAGCCCCATGACCACACTGCTTCCACGTGCTACAGTTATGAGCCGAGTTACGCCGTGTCGCAAGTTTTGTGAGGTGCTTTTTTGATATTTAATGGATCGGATTACATTTTTTATTTCTCTCCGATATCCGATCCAGTAATTTAGGTCAGTATCGGTCCGATACGTAATATCGGATCGGTCCATCTCTAGTCTTTACACACTCTTAGTTTGCATTAAGAGTTCTGACAGCCCACGGGAAGAAGCTGTTCTTTAGTCTGTTGGTTTTGCACCTGATGGATCTGAGCCTTTTTCCAGAGGGCAGGATGTTGAAGAGGTGGTGGTTAGGATGGAGGTGGTCCTTTATAATTGCCCTGGCTCTGGAGAGACATCTTGAGCTGGCAATTAAGTCCAGGGAGGGGAGTGGACAGCCGATCACCTTCTCTGCAGTTCACCACTGTAACCACTTTAAACTCCACTGTAAGCATGTAAGAACCGAGGAACAAAATTAAATATGTTCCCAGCCTCTTTTGGTTTCTTATGGTTTTTAAATTTCATAATGCACCAAATGCTTTGAGCGAGTGAAAAACCGAGACTACAGGCTTTATCACGTGAACACTTACAGTGGAACTGTGCCGCTGCAGTACGCGCAGGTTGTGGTTTACCATGGTCTTGCTGAAACGAGCAAGTCAGCCCAGAAAATGATTTAATCTCCATGACCACAGACGTTGCTCCAAAACAAGTCCTTTTTTCCATATCGTACAGAAAATAGCCTCCAGTTTTCCTCTCCGCCTCAGTTGCTCCTCCGATCGCTGTTTTATTTCTTTGCAAAGGGAGAGTTTAAAGTTGTTTTTGTTAATGCAGAGAGAAACTGCATTCAGTGATGCTGATTCTTGCTCGAGTCCCCGAGGCCATGCAGATATTTCCACTACAGAATTGCTTGTTTTCATCCAGTGCTCCCTGAAGCCATGAAGGTCATAGGCATGACAAGTACCAAGCTTTTATTTTGCTCCATAGATAATTGCAATCTACCGTGGATAAGTTCTTCAAATTCTCGGTGGTTTTATTTTTTATAATCTTATCAAATTCTAAACACCCCTCCATACTTTGTTTGTGAAATACCTTAAAATATGTTGATATTATACTTTTTTGATGTTATTTATATAAAAAGAAGAGGATTCCAAACATGTTACTGACCTACTCCATAATAGTCTAAATGATTAGTCCAGCGGCCTTAGTTAAAGTAGTCACCTGGCCTTACTTATATGTTGGTCAAAATTAGACAGTTGGAGCCATTAGCCTACTAAAAAGAGCAAGGATGTGTCTCCTATTGATCTGGTATCGATGTCTTTGTAATTTGTGAGCGTGCTGCAGCAATCATTGTGAAACATTTCCAGGAGGAAAAAATAGCCCAGTTGTTTTTGTTTCAGCCCAAGCACCTAGTTGTTTTCAACGCAGGATCAAAATGACTTGAATCTCTGATGCTTTTTTTCCCCCAGTAGAAATGAACAGGAATACAGCAACTATGCAAGTGTGACAGCCAATACTAATGGCACACCTTCACATGTGATCTTGTAAAACGTATCTGTTCTGGGTTTTTACCTCGAGGTTTGACAGAGTGGCTGTAGTTAAGTGACAGATGGAATAGAAAGTTTTCTCCATGCTTCTTCACGGCTCCCTCCTCCTCCTCCTCCTCCTCCTTCTGCTCTCTGTCTTGTCACTCTCCTCTCATGTAGTGCCCTATCACTCATGTTCCTTACTTTAAATTCGGTGCAGGATTTGTCTTTTTGGGCATGCTCGCACACACACATAGACGCATACACAGGCACACCCGTCATCTCATGGGATTTTTGCCTCACGGTATGATAAACCCAGTGTCAATCCCAGCTGCAGCAGAGCATTACTCCATGAGAGTGTGTGTCATCGCATCCTCTGTGTGTGTCAGTGTCACTGTGTGCGCCATTGTATTTATTGTGTTCAAAATCGCTTTACTGACCAGTTCCAGCTCACAGCTTGGCTCACACATTCGGTGACGTGATTGTTTGTGTGTGTGGGCGTGTTTGTCTACACATGTAAGCATTCATACTTTAACCATTTTTTTTCTCTTTTTTTCCCCTAATTTTTATGTCTTTCGGGGGTTTTGTCTTGTTTTTGTGCAGTTGCAGACATAAGCAGTGGAAGTCAGACCTGCCGGCCTCGAGCGTTGTCATCACCTTCCACAATGAGGCTCGCTCTGCTCTGCTGCGGACTGTGGTCAGGTAGGCGTGTATACTGAGCCTTGTGTACTTTTTTCTTTTCGATTTCTGAGGTAGATGTGCTGTATTTTTATACGATCTTCACTCTGTTTAGTGTCCTGAAGAAAAGTCCACCTCACTTGGTCAAAGAGATCATTCTGGTTGATGACTACAGTGATAATCGTGAGTTGTGTGAACACACGCAAACAAAGCTAGCATCATCAGTGTGAAAATACAAATAAACATCACTGCTCTGTGTGTGTTCCAGCTGAGGATGGAGCGCTGCTGGGGAAGATTGAGAAAGTACGCGTGTTGAGAAATGACCGCAGAGAAGGTACTTTAGAAGAAAAAGGTTTTATCATAACTTTTATGCCCGAAAGAAATCTCAGTGCTGCTGCACACCATGTGGGATGAAAGTGTTCAGTCTGGCAGCAGGAATGTTGTTTTTAATCACACTTCTTTTCATAACTTCCCTCAGGCTTGATGCGATCAAGAGTTCGTGGTGCAGATGCTGCCACAGCACCAGTTCTCACCTTCCTGGACTCTCACTGTGAATGTAATGACCACTGGCTAGAGCCGCTGCTTGAAAGAGTGGCTGAGGTACGCGCACACACAGCGTACAACTTCGTATCTTAATATCATTATAATACATTTGAGCACATATCCCAGTGAACAAACAAGTGAAAAACAATAGTTAAGATAGAAATTAGATGGGGGGGTTTTCCTCTTAAAGACTGGCATTGAATTTTCGGTTTTATCAGTCAGGGCACGCTCTGAAGAAGATCTCGCCAGACAGTGAAATTGTTGCACTTTGGCCATCTTTCTTCTAATTCGACAGCTTGAAATGAAAAGTGCCCTTTTAACTGAGTTATGTTTGCATATAGCCTTGTTTTTTGATTCTAGTTGGTTTAAAATCGAAAAAAAAAGAGAAAAAAAAAAGTTACTTTCAACTAATCCCTTATTCTAAAGGGGTCACCATGATGTGTTGCTCTACAAGTTTGTACGCCTTGCCAACACAACCCAAAAGGAATTTGTTTCTCCTCCCGGGAAAGATACAAACTTTGTATCTTTTGCTTGTTGGGAGAATGTGTAAGCCACTACATTGTGGAGCCATTCCAAAGCAAAAGTGTGATATAAACAACTAATTCATAGTGAAAATGCCCAGAAAACCTGTTGAAATTTTAATTGGTTTCAGAGGGACAGAGTAAACCATTTAATAGACCAATAGAAGGGAAACAAAGGCAGTCAGTTATGTCACTGTGCATTGATTGACACATGTAAACACTACACTGGATTCAGCCCAATTTCTTGTGCACTGACTTGTTATCTTTAGTCAGAGTGGGGGGAAAAATGTCTGCATTGTAGATATGTAGTGGTTTGGTCCTTGGCTGCTCCAGTCTGCATGCCAAAGTATCACCGTGTAATTGTTAGACACTATTTAGTGTAGATAAAAGTGCTTGTATGAATGCGTGTGAAAGAAGCATGTTGTGCTTTGAGTGCTCAAATACAATCTATAATAATCAGTCCATTTACCATTGATAAGTGAAAAACAGTTCACATGTTGTGATTGTGCTCATAAATGGTTTAAATTATGATACCATAGTTTGATCTAAAAAGAAAACGGCCAACAAACTACAAAATGCTCATTAAAAACCACAAAAACGCTGGAAACAAAATAAATCTTTTAGGGGGAAAGTTTCTGAACACTCACAGTCACTTTATTATTAGGTACTCGTCTTACCTACAACTCATTGAAAATATCCATTTAGCCAATCACATGGCAGCAGCTCAGTAGATTTAGGTTTGTAGATACAGTCAAGACAACCTGCTAACTTTCAACGTTGAATGTAGCGTGGTAGTTGATGCCAGGGGGAGTGGCCTAAGTATCTCATAAACTACTAATCTACTGGGATTTAACAACAGAGCCATCTCTAGGGTACAGTAACTCAAATAACCACTTGTAACAACCAAGATATGAAAAAAAGCATCTCTGAACACACAACACATTTTGCCTTGAAGCAGATGGGCTACAACAAACAAAAGACCGCACTGTCACCGCACTGCCACTCCTGTCAGCTGAGAGCAGGAAACTGAGGCTACAGTTCAGACTGGCTCACTAAAATTGGAAAATAGAAGATTGGAAAAATGTTGCAACATTCAGATGTTGGAGTCAAAATCTGGTCAAAGGATGGATCCATTCTGCCTTGTATCAACAGTTTAGGCTGGTGGTAGTGTAATGGCAGAGCTTTGGACCTTTTACTACCAACTGAGCATTGTTTGAACACCATGGCTTGTCTAAGAATTGGTGCTGACCCCTTATGACCACAGTTCACAAGTGCTCAGTGGGCCTCAACAATCCCCAGATCTTTATTCAAATAGAGCAACTTTAGGATATATTGTGGAGATTTCCATCATGGAAATGCAGTTGAAAACTTTGCAACAACTCTGTGATGCTGTCATGTCAGTGTGGAATAAAATCTTTGAACAATGTCCAGCACCCTGTCGAATCTGTGCCACGAGAAATTAAAGCAGCTCTGGAGACAAAAGTGGATCCATTCCCAAAATAACAAGGTTGACCTGAAGAAGTACCTGACCAGTGTATCCCAGTAAAATACACATAAAATTGATCCATTTCATGTTTTTTCCATCTAATCCTTTACACAGAGGCTGGGGTTGGCTACAAAGCAGCGCCTCTGAGCTTATAATCAGTCAGTGTCTTGTTAACATTCATGTGAGAAACAAGGAGCGCGTGACTACATTTCATTCACACAGGAATGTTGGGACTGTTTTCATTATAAAAGTTCATTATCACAACTAAACCTGACAGTGTGAGACATGCAGATCTTGATGGGTGACAATATCTTTTGTCTTTTGGGGCTGGCAATTTGATTTTTATTTCCATTAAAGGAAAAACTTTATAGACCCAAACTGAGCTCTCTTACAGATACACAGTCTGGTGATATTTAGAGCGAAGCCTTTTTTTTTTTAAATACAGACTTCAAAAAGGAGCTTCATGATTGACTGTAATCTTAATCTGAAATGGGACACTGTGTATAAAATTGAGGTTGTTCTTTAAAAATGTATCTGATTTGACTTAAAACAGTCTGATTCTGCATTTGATCCTCCCGAATGTGCTGTTTTGTTGTTCCCTCGTTAATAAATGCCTGGAGCCAAGTCTGAAACGCTGCGCTGTCAGAGTAATTCACTTTGTTTTTCTTTTGCTTTAGCTGCTTCTCTAAATAATGAATCCCACCATACACTGTGAAACCTTGTCTTATAAAAATGTCGCAGGCTCAAACAAATGAACTCCCCAATATCTGCAAGCTGTTTCTGTTTTCGTCATTCGGGCCGCTTGAGTAATCCTTTCTTCGAACTGCCGGGTGATGTGGCTCTGTGATTTTAAAGCTTGGGTTTGTTTTGGTGTTGGTAGGAAATGGCTGATTAAAGTTCAGTTTTACGTCATAAACGTGGCAGTGAACTAAATATAGAACATAAAATAAGCTTGCAGATGGGAATATTTACTTACGCTCTAAAATTTCACAAACACGTTAAGTGCTCCGAGTCCTTTGTAGTTCTGCATAATTTAGTCCTTTTTAATTAACTTGTAGTAAATATTTATTGATGATATTCCAAACCTGCATCCGTCCTTGAAGTGGCTTTGTTTAATTACTGTCTCCGTGTTTCCTTCTCAGGATAAGACACGAGTAGTTTCTCCCATCATTGATGTCATCAACATGGACAACTTTCAATATGTCGGCGCCTCTGCCGATCTGAAAGGAGGTAAAGTACACAAAAGACACACTCGACTCCTGTGTAGTCTAGTCAGTCGAGCTTGACAGCGAGGCTTTGCATTTATTACGGTTTTAGAGGATTTGCTTTTTAATGCTTTTCATTTACAATGAATTGACGTTGTTATCTCACAGCCGCATTAAGACCAGGTGTTTTGCCATCCAGTGCTGTAGTTCATAAACTGTTCTCTCCAGGTATTTCTCATACTTAAGGCGAGGCCTCCTGAGGAACATGGTATATTTCAAACTGTTTCTCAGCACGAAATGTTCACTGAACAGTGCCTCCTCTTCAAAGTATTGCAGATATTATCTTATTATCTCACGAGGCAGCACACATGATCCCCCACTTGTTCATTGTAAATCTTTTAGACAGTTCCATCTTTTATTCTGACATAGGCTGAATGAAACATCACGCCTACTTTGTACTGGAGAGCTGTTGGGTTAAAGACAGTTTAATGTCCAATCCAACTGATTTGGGCATATGCCTTCTTGAGTATAACTCCAGTAGATGATAACCAGAAAGGACATTAATGAATTCAAGTTAATTAAATAATTGGTGTCATATATGTGATTTTACGCATTAAATGTCCTTTTTTGTCCATTGTGATGCTGATGGATATAGCTTACATACGGTGCAATGCACACTGGAAATGGAAGAGCTACTCATAGCTTAAACTCACCCCCACTCTTTTTTATATTAATAATTAATTAGCGACTTCACATAATAAAAAATTTAATGTTCTGAATGTGAAACTGCCGTGCAGTCGCATTCTTAATTTGGCTGGATTAGCAAGTGTTGGCACTTGCATTGCAACATTTCTCTTTTTTGTGTGGGTCTGTGAGGTATATTAATGTAAAAGCCAAAGTGGTGTACTGGCTGTGCTGATTGCAGTGTATTGTAGAACAGATACATGCCAGTTACACTAGTTTAACTCTTTCTGCTAACACTTAAACAGTTACAGCAGTTGCCTTTGAAGTCAGGCAACTGCTGATTTACCCAGTCATCTAATATGAACCTGCCAAATCCAATTATACAACCAGACTGCTACTTAATCCCAACTAATGGTCGTAATTGTGCTGTGTTTTTTTGTCTGTGTGTTTATGTTGGCAGGCTTTGACTGGAATTTGGTGTTTAAATGGGACTACATGACTCTGGAGCAGAGACGAGCCAGACAAGGCAACCCGATCGCTCCTATAAAGTAAGACAAACATACTTTCAAAAGTTACAGGTTGTATCATATGCAACTAACAGGGTATTAATCTACTCAATTTTTACCAATACCTTCTCAATTTTCTTTCTTTTCTTTTTTTTCTGCCCCTCCAGGACACCAATGATAGCAGGTGGCCTGTTTGTCATGGATAAAGACTACTTTGAGCAGCTGGGAAAGTATGACATGATGATGGATGTATGGGGAGGGGAAAATCTCGGTGAGTGGTGCAATTTAGAAGCTCACGGTAGACTGAAGAAAGTGTCTAATGGATGTCGCAAGAATAGAAAGTCTTGATCAGTGAAACAATCAAAAATTGCATAAAACACAGGTATTAAAAGTGGAAAGTCAAGTGAAGTCGCAGGCATGTCCTTGGTTTCCCGTTTTGTCTCCAGGCTTTTAAGGTTTTAATGACTGTTTTGAAAAATACACTCATTTGCTTTCTTGGTGCAAGTTTAATAGCACAGTCCTATATGTCCATTGAGTATAATGATGTTATATCATTATGAAATGATAAATGTATAAAATGTTATAAACTTTTAATACAGAGACTAGAGCAGTATGTTTGCATTAAAGGGCATGTGCTGCATTGGTTTGAATCCTATCAAACCAAATGTGTGCATTTAAATGTTTTTGTCTTCTTTACACATTAAAGTTAGCCACGGTGTTCCACAGGGTTCCGTGTTGGGGCCGATCCTTTTTACTGTATACATGCTTCCCTTAGGTAATATTATTAGAACCGCACTCCATACACTTTCATTTCTATGCAGATGACACCCAGCTCTATTTCTCAATGAAACTCAGTGATGACAAATCAATTGAAGTCCCTTTTTTTTCTTTTCTTTTAAAGCTCAAGCCGAGCGTGATTCATTCAGTAGCGACTTTAAATAACGAAATAACCTTGCACTAAAACATAGCTTGATTTATTTACTTTTTGTTTTTGTAATTTTATGTTTAAAAAGACTTGAAATTAGTAATTGAAGCCATAAACGCATCAAGAACGGGTTTACTGAGTCTGCTGATTCTATGCATCCAACAGGCAGTCAAGTTTTTGCTGTTTTGTTGACGTTATGTTTGCACATCCTTATATGCCGGACAGTGATTTGGCTAAACAAACAACGAAGGATTTTGTGAGCTTTGGATAGAGCTGGGTTTGCTGTTTCCCGTTGTTTGTACTCTCAATGATAAGCTACGTGATTACTGGCTGCATCGTTATACTTGACATGTAACTGTGATAATTGTATCAAACCTCTGATCTCATTCTCTGCAGAAAACCTAATACATGTCTCTCCAAAATGTTGAACTATATCTTTAAGACTTAAATGAGCTTGCAACTGTAATCTCTTTCCCTCATAAATGCTGCACTTTTGGCTCAGAAAACCACAAATTCCTGCCCAGTTATAAAATCTCCACTCCCCTGTGAGATCTGGTGCTAAAGCAGCAACGTGGATTTGCCTCACACTGTGATCAACTCATGAGATCATCTGGGTGCCCATGCCAACAACGAGATAATAGAAAATCCTTCAGTAATTTGGTTGTCATATCTAGGTAAAAGATGTCTTCCTTAGTACAGTTGATCTTAGGAAATTACAGTGGCAGTGTAATAATGTTTAGAGTCAGTGCAGAGTGTGCACAATAGAGCTCATTTGCAAACAGTACAATGATATAATAGCAGCTGTGTCTCCCTTTTGCTTTTGTCTGAATGCACTTGGGAAATCGGTAAGAATAAACAGCTGACGGAGTGATTCAGGCTCCTCTCGAGGCGGTCCAATGAATCAGAACTGGATTGACAGTTCAGACATTGCTGTGCTCATTTAAAGAACGCTCATTCAAATGCTGACAATGCTGGAGAGCAAATCGAACAATGTCAACACACTCCAAACATTCATGATATGCAGATGTGGATTAACTTAACTACTTTTTCTTGGCTAGTAATTACCTTACCTGTTTTTATTCATTTTTTCCGCCTGCGTGTATGTCTGTGTGTGTTTTTAGAGATCTCATTTCGTGTGTGGCAGTGTGCCGGCAGTCTGGAGATCATCCCCTGCAGCAGAGTTGGCCACGTCTTCAGAAAGCAGCATCCTTATACCTTCCCGGGTGGCAGTGGCACTGTGTTCGCAAGGTGACACACATGCAGACACACACATACAAGAGGGCTGAACACTCCTTAACCAGTCAGGTTGCACGCATCACATAGTTCATCAAAATTCCCCATGTTGCAGCCTGTGCATCTCCATAATGACACTACAGTTAATGCATTTGGGTTTATTTGGGGACTTTAGCTCAGAAGGTGAAGCCACACAGTTCTCTATTTGTCATATCCAAAAACACACCAAAGCTCCAATGCATTCTGAGGTTAGGCCCAGCCTTCCATATCATCAGTATGTGAATGGGTAATCAAATGCAAAGAGCTTTGGATAATAGCAGTACTTGAATTCATTCTATTTATTTATTATTATTGCTGCTGAGCATATATATAAAAACCTGTTTTCTCCTTACATAAAATATGGGAGGAAAATCTCTATTTAAGTAGTTTCACTGTAAATCACAAGAAATGTGGAGGCTATTTCTGATGGAGAGAGATGCAGTCTAAATGGACTGTCCTTTAGATATAATGCTTTTCTAGTCTTAATGACCACTCAAAGCACTTTTACAGTACAAGCCATATTGCTTTTATCGATCATGCACATGCATAGGGAGCAATTATGTTTACAGAATCTTGCCCAAGGGCACTTAAAACATGCAGACCGGAGAAGACGATGATTGAACCCCTGACCTTTCTGTCAAATGGTGACCTGCTCTAACACAACCCACTCTTCATTTCTAAGAGTCAGTTAAAGTTAGGAGACAGTTTGACTCAACATTTGACATTTCAAGACCAAATACTGAGGATGTTTATCCTGAGGTTCAAATTTCACTCACTAAATTTAATGTGGAAACAGCCTTTGAGGAAACATTCCCACCACAAGGTTCATTTACTGGATCCTCTGGGGCCTTTTTGTCTTGTCACGTGATTTTCATCAGCAGATGAGTTTGCTGTTTAGCCTGAAACTGAAGATTTTTGATTTACACTTTTCTGTGCAGCAGAACAACCGCACAGAAAAGGACTAGCTGAGCGTGTTCCAACTTTAACAGGGTTAGGAAGACTTTTTTGTTTGTTTATTTTAAATCTGCAGTTCACTGACAGCTAATACAGTCAATCAGCTGATGTTTAAGTGACCTAGCAGTCTCAGAAAAACCTTGACATTCTATGATACTTTTTATCAATCGGGCGATCGTGGCTCAAGAGTTGGCAGTTCGTCTTGTAATTGGAAGGTTGCCGGTTCGAGCCCCGGCTCGGACAGTCTCGGTCGTTGTGTCCTTGGGCAAGACACTTCACCTACCGCCTACTGGTGGTGGCCAGAAGGGCCGATGGCGCGATATGGCAGCCTCGCTTCTGTCAGTCTGCCCCAGGGCAGCTGTGGCTACAACTGTAGCTTGCCTCCACCAGTGTGTGAATGTGTGTGTGAATGGTCCCTAGAGGGGACTAGTAAAAGTGCTATACAAATACAGGCCATTTACCATTTACCATAGAAGCAGTCTAAGCTCTTCCTTTCCATTTTGATGATGGTTTTTCAATATTTATACTGAATTTTCTTTTTAAAGCACTTTGAATTTCTTATTACTTATTTGCTTAAAATCAATATACTAACATATATTATAGCCTAATATACAGTTATAATGTTAGCTCCTCATATTTATAAGGTCAGGGTACCGTCAAATAGTCTCTGCAAGCCAAAGCTCAGATGTCCGTTTGCTCTCATCTCTGCCTTTTCAGACAGTTTTTTCTAATCTTGGCTCTCTGTGATAACAAAGAGAGGGCATATCAGTGCTATGCTCATCTCTGCCTGTGAGCACAACAGCTCCACCCACCTGCTGCTTAGACCCTTAAACGAGGAGGAATAGAGGTAAAAAGGCTTAATTCAGACAGCAGGTGACCTGAGGGGCTGCACCAAGACCTAGTGTGTAGGATAAAAGAGACTTCTCTTTGTGAGTTGTGTGAATTACTCCCCTGAGTCCTGGAGTAAAACTATGGAGCTGGAAATGAGCACAGATCATGTGTATAGGTCTCTTTTGGTTCATTATTTTCTGTGGCTGCGGTTTGTAAATTACCAAACAAGTTATTGAGTTTTACTAATGCTCTGAGAATTAAATCAGCGTTGAGTAATTAAAACAAAGTACCGTCAATTAAACAAGTCCATGAATATTTCCTTCAAAAATAAAAAAAATAAAAACTGTGAAGAAAAGTGAAGAAAATCTGTTTTTTCCATGTGCTGCCCTTTAGAGCTGTGATATATGCTGCACCATAAACATTGAACACGAGTAGTGGAGAATGTGATACATGGGCAGATATGGATCTGTCTCTTGAAACCATGAGTCACCACCCTTGGTAATGAGCCCAACAAACCTTCAGTGTCCCGATTGGTAAACATGTGGGAGGATAAACAAACAGATAACAAGGAGCTTGAAATGACTGTGGTTACTCTGGTATTGGCTGTGATTAATATTTTTAAAGGGGAGCAAGAAATAAAGAGCATGTCTGGGTGACATGTGGTGCCTATTCTGCAGTAGCTCCTATTTTTGAGTCGGGGCTATTAGTTGACTTCAGCCCCTCATTTCTTATCACTTAGTTTCATACAAATACCTGAAGAGATTTAATTCATAGCTCGGTAGAACCCTTAGAGGGGAAAAAAACTGTGGATGTGGATGAAATTCAACATTAAACCAACATTTATTCAAACAGTGTCAAAGATTAGACACCACCTGTGGACTGCTAATGTTTTCATCAGTTTCATAACACTGAACACAGTCTCATATTAGTTGCACAGCCCTTCCTAACAATCAAAGACATCACTTATTAATCAGTGGGTGCAGCGGAGTTCTCTATTACAGAGCAGAGCAGCTTCATCTGTGCTCTGAGGCAGCGCCTTGCCCTTCAGCCTGAATCAAGTCCCAGACAGCATCCCTGTGGCTGCTGTAGTGACTCTGGGGACCTCGGAGACGGCACCTGTTTTGTCTGCCTGGATGACATTGTAATTGTTCTTCAGGGAGCAGCATTTCACAGCAGAGTTATAATAGGTGTGTTGTGGCAGCAGCAGCTTGCTATGTGACAAAAAGCCCCTGTGGACCTAAATAAAGTTTGCTGTGTGTGGTGTCGGTATTTTTGGGATGCAGGTGCATGAGAGTAAAAAGACAAAGAGACTGCACATCAAAATAAACGCTTAAAATACTGTAATAATGATAGGGCATCTAGTGTCACCACGGTCGCCGGTAACCTTCAGATGTTAGAAGAGTTATTTTTCTTAAGGCTTCTCTTCCAGTAAGTGGAAGCCGAGTTTGGAAATGTCTAGAAATATGTGAGCCTCACTAAGACAAAACCACTGCTCGCTATTTAAAACTGCGCAACTCGTGGGTTATAGAGAATTTCTGCAGAATATAAAAAGGCTTCTGGCAAACACGTCATAACTTTTGCTTTTGACATCACATAATGAGGTACTTAGTTTCCCTATAATTTGGTCAAAGCATTTACACTTTAGGGATTCACAGGTAAACGTAATGAAGCTGATTGTACTGCAGTTATGGCTATAATTAACCCTGCTAGCAGTTTTAACCCTATTTTTAAGTCTGAATTGTGAAATAATTGCCTGAAAATTGACAAAAATAGTAATTGGAGTGCTTGTTTAACTTTCTCACTATGTTATCCTACTTCATGAGACACTGCATGAACCAGAGGAGCATATCTGTTCCTAAGAAACTGGATTGCAAAAATAGTGTTTGTGCAATCCAGAAACAGTGAGGTCGATATAAACTGGTTCCAGTACTGGGGTTTGCAAACTGGGAGAGCAAGAGAAGTTACTAAGGTCTCACTGTTAACCCCCGTTGCTATGATCATCATTGCACTCTTTCTCTTGTTTTGATTCGGTCTAAGGAAGGACTGTTAGTGTCATACTTTGAGCTGCTCTGGACTGCAAAGATTGAGTTGTATTTTATTGACTCCAGCCGACACGTAGTCTGTCAGAAGTCCGTTACATCACTCGAAAAATAAAAATCTGACAAATTGTCAAATGTTACACGTCAACACTTGGCAGCATGCACACGCTGTTGACCAAGGGCTGCAATAACAGGGAAAATAAACACACACATTTGTACAGCCAGGATAACTGTGCCCTCTGATGGCTGTCGGGGGGGTGTATGAGCAGGCAGTGAGTGTGTCACAACCACCAAACAGACACGTCCATTCAGGACTCGTGCAGTGTGCCACATACCTTTCTGTCTTTTTTTTTTTTTTTTTTTTTTAAATCCTCACCGACTCTCGGTCTTATCCTCACCCATTTTCTCCCTCGTCTTTGTGCATTTTCTTCTTCTCACCTATCCATCAGGAACACAAGGAGAGCAGCAGAGGTGTGGATGGACGAGTATAAAAACTTCTACTATGCCGCTGTCCCCTCAGCAAGAAATGTCCCCTATGGGAAGTAAGTACTATGAAGTATTAGCCCCGTGGGAGTTGAACATAATAATGGAGCTGGATCATAAAATTACAAAGGCAGCCACTTGAATGGACATAATAATTATAATTGTACTGCCAATTAGCAGAATGTAAGCCATAAAAGGTGTAATTTTTCCCTTTATACTTAAGTGAGGATGTTAATGTAGCTCAGAAGAGGACAAAAAGTCAGTGGCTGATTTACAATACTGGAAACGCTGCTGTTATTTATGCCCTAAAGGGATGACAACGCTCCTTAAAAAGGTTTGCGCAGGATTGTTTCAAGCATAGTGACAGCGTCAGTCATCCGCCATTAAAAAAATACCTGCAGCTGCTGAATGGATTGACATTCATGTTCTTTAGGGGGTGACACCTGCTGACTTTGTGATCCTCTTAGTTTTATGCCACCAGCAGGACAAAGTAAGTACTGTAAGTGTGTTAAGGAATGCTTTTCACCCTTATACTAGTTTCCTTCTGCTTTATGCCACACATCCAGAAGTCTACACAGCAATAAGCACTTTTGCATTCAACCAGAGTAGCTAGACAGCACTATATATGCTTATTATGTGACCTTGTGGGAACGGACTTGGCATCTCCCCTCTAGTGTCAGTCCAAACAGTTATATTTTCCCCAAAGGATCTAGACTCAGACATGCCCCGAGCATCCACTCTCTCCCCTTACAAAGCGACTGACGAGGCGTATAATTTAAACATGAAACCACAGCTGATTCAACCCTTTAATTCTCTTCCTCCATCTCCTTCCTCTCCCTCAGTATCCAGAGTCGTTTGGAGATGAAGAAGAGATTAAACTGTAAGCCATTCAAATGGTACCTGGAGAATGTCTATCCTGAGCTGAGGTAAGAAAATGAGGGCAGTCTGTGCAATATGATGGAGCCAGTGTTACACTGCATGACATGTAATGTTGTATAATCAAAACTAAATTGCATTTACCAAATTGTTAGGAGACCACTCCTCAGCCAGAAGTTTGAAATATGACTTTGTGCTAATGTGTGGCGGGATGTTCTATACACAAATGAGACTGCGGTGACGCTAATGCCCAACCAGGAGTTATGATTCAAGGTCATTATTACATTTTCACAAGGTTCTCAGGTTCGCAATTAGTGGCTGATGTGAATGAGTCCACAAGTTCAACAGAGAGCACCTCTGATTTAAATCTGACTGCTAGATTGCACCACTCCCAGCGTTTTTGCTTGCCTGAAGGTCAAGTTATGACCGCTGTCACAGACTCTGGTACTCCTCCAGGTTGTCAGATAGGCAAACCTTGAGCTTGAATGTAGTTTTAAATAAGTACAAAGTTGCTTACATCTAAATCTGTTGAGCAGTGTTGGTGAGAAACAAAGATTTTTTTAGGATTGCCAAAAAAACCCCCTTATTTTTAACACATCAGAAGCACCATCGCACACTGGCACAGTTCAAGTTGTTTGGATGAAATCTTCTCCGTCACATGTCTCAGGATAATAAAGTAGAACTACTGCTGATAGGTTCATGGGCTTTCTGCATATCTGTGAAATGCACATGTGCAACTGGTCAGAGTGGGACTTTCAGAGAGCGTAGTCAAATTTAGCATGAGCCTGGGGCATGGTGTGTCACTGCACAGTGAAACAATCTTTAAAAGCATAAAAACCACATTAAATCTCAGGCATACTTCTTGCTTTTATGTTTTCACAGGGGGAAGAACATTAAAATTGCACCTTTTTAATGCTTCTAATTTGAATAATTTAACTTTTACAGAAACATTAAAGCCCCATTGTCCTGTTTTGTCAGAAGAAAATTGACTATTTTCCTCTCTTGCTGTATCTCGGCCTGTACGCTTTCTTTGTTTGGCTTTTTAACAGCTTGAAAAACTGAATACACGCTTCACTAACACTTTTTCGTGTGTGTGTTCAGGGTCCCAGATCACCAGGACATTGCTTTTGGAGCCCTGCAGCAGGGAGGAAACTGTCTGGACACCTTGGGTCACTTTGCTGATGGTGTGGTCGGCGTCTATGAATGTCACAATGCAGGGGGAAACCAGGTAGCATTACGGCGAGGGGACACCCAGGTCAGCTTGTAAAATCCTAACCTTAGAGACTCGTGGGTGGCAAGTGGTGTACATATGGTTTCACCACATGTACAAGCACAGGGGGTATGATAAAGGATTTACGTATTTAAGGTCACAGTGCCATACTTAAAGTAAATGTATTGTAATCAAAAGGACAAAGATGTTTAAACACAGAGGTTGTTAAGACTAGAGCAGATCTATTGAAACTTTAACTTAAATATAGAGTAGTGCATAACAGCATTTTAACATTGTTCTTAGAGGAAATGTACAGCTCTTGTTGGAGTACCTTGAGGAGGACACACACTATGTCTGTGTGTGTAAGTTTGTGGGAAGTGTTTCTGTCAGCAGTTTCTCAAATAGTTGAAATCCTGAAATAGAATGACAGGTGTAGAGAAGAAAACTGCTGTCGCTTCAAGTCAGCGATCGCTGGCTTTTTTTGGCTTTACGTGTCTTGTTTTTCCCTCGTGGATTTGCAGATCTTTCCTGTTTCAAGTGTTGCTTCATAAATACAGTAAATACAGCTAAGAAACCTATCTGGACAGCATTAACAACATGTTTTGAGGGGAAACATTTGGGTGGACACCAACAAGTCAGGACTCTTTGAGGGGCATTATTGCTCTCTCGCTCTCTTACAGTCATTGTAGTATTTTAGTTCTAAGGTTTGCATATCAGTACTTAATACAAATTATTTGCTGTTAGCTGGTCTTAAAATTGGATAAATACTCATGTGATTACCTGATCATCAGTAAGTGTAACCATCTATATAGAAGCTGTAGTTTGAGGTATCTGCTGGTCTGGAGCATTCATGCATGCATGTGTGTGTTAGCACAGTGTCACGGAGGCCGGACATCACCAATGATCTCAGAGAAACAGTTGTTGCTGCCCATCAACCTGGAAAGTCGTAGTCCATCGTTCTGCTCACAAGTGGAAAATATTCAGGACATGTACCAGTATTCCCAAGGTCAAACCGGGCAATGTTCATGGTTGTGCAACATCCTTTAGAAGACGAGACAGAAGAGGAGACGCTTTGCTGTAATTCACAGGGCCACATTTGGCAAACAGCAAACATGGTGCTTTATTATCCTCTTATATGAAAAACTTTAGAATTGGAAGAGGGTGTACTTGGTTTTTACTATTCATTTTTTAAAACTCTTATGAATATTTTTTTTTAAATTTCTACCAGGGGGAAAAAACAAACAAAATTGTGAATGTAGTTAGTAACAGCTGCGGTGCTGGGAGGGCAAAATGAACAACCTTGGATTTTGGGGGGTTTAAAATGCAATCTTATCACCAAGCGGAAGTGGAAAACCGAAAAACTTGGTTATTGATTTTTAATCCCACATAATGAAAACTGCAAACAAGTCATTCGCTGTGATGTTGTTCAATCCGTTCTAGCCATTCTCAAAGAGATTTGACGCGACACAAGTGAAGTACCACAAATAATGTCTCCATTTTATTCACACTCATACCAGGCAGTCTCTTTACTAAACTAACGGCCAATTATTATTGTTGTTATTATTATGGGTTTGTATACTTTCTAAAATTTATTTAAAATATACAGAGATTTTCTCAGCCACCAAGCTTTACCTGCTGGGTTTATTTAATGGCCTTAATGTGGCTTTAACATGGGCACTGTGTTCTCAGAGCAATCAGTCCTGCTTGTGAGATTTCCACAGGGAGCTCCAGTTTCTCTCTCTATCAAAAACATGCTAGCCCGATGCTGCCCGTGGTGCCCATTTTGCAAAATACATTTTTGTTATTTTTCCTGTGTAAATAAGAGAAAATCATGATCATTACTTGATCTAAAAGACATGTATTATTCGATAAAGCCTTGCTGAGAACATCCCAGCATGCTTTACGTGTACTAATATTTTGCGTGTATCCATTTTTATAAAGGAATGGGCCCTAACCAAGGATAAATCGGTAAAACATATGGACCTGTGTCTGACTGTGGTGGACAGAACAGCTGGTTCCCTCATCAAACTACAAGGCTGTAGAGAGAATGACAGCAGACAGGTAAACACACACTGAAGTCGAGGGCCTTTATTGTTGTTTATACCCAAAAAAAGGTACAGCGTTCAATATTTGTGACATTGTGTTGTTTGTCGTCCAGAAATGGGAGCAGATCGAGTCCAACTCGAAGCTTCGTCACGTGGGCAGTAACCTCTGCCTGGACAGCCGCAGCGCCAGGATGGGCGGACTCACTGTGGAGGTCTGCAGCCCGAGCCTCACCCAGCAGTGGAAGTTCACTCTCAATTTACAATCGTAGGGGGCGCTCCAGATCCCCGGAAGACTTGGCACAGCGAAGAGAAACACCTACAGACTCCTGAGATGCGGCTAAAAAGATGAATAGACTCAAGAAGAAAGACAAACTCTTCCTCCTTCTCCTCCTTCCTCCTCCACAGAGGTACAGCCAGTCACGTGCGCACCCTTCTCTCACCCATCTCCCTAAACGATGAGCCACGCGTAATGAAGGGAGGGGCCGGGAGACCCAAATGGAGTTAACAGGAACCTGACTGCATGTGGTGGATGGATGGTGGCGATCACGAGGATAAAGGAGACGAAGAGGCTTTTGTTTCAAAAATACATACCTCAGTGTTTTCTCATTGATGGTTCCAGCTGCAAACGGCGAAATTGTTCTTCTCCTTTCTTTAATGCTGGTGGAAAGAGAATTTTTTGGTGTACTTGTTTTATTTTCTTATTCATATTTTTTATTTCTTGCTGTTAACTGTCCACAGAGACTTGCTTTTTTTCCTTCTTCTTCTTCTTCTTGGAAGCATCCTGTAATGGCAGATGGAGGCTTCAGGTTGTGGTTTCGGGGAGGTGTGGGTTGTTGAGTGATGTGAAGGGAGGAAATGGACTCGAGGCCTTGAGCTTTTCCTCTCGTTTACTCTCACTGGTTTACAGAGTCAACCGAGAGAAAAGAGGCAAAGAATGCAGTTTTTCTACAGACTCTTTCTTGGTGGAGGTGAAGACAATCTGGGAGGGTTTTCGCTGCTTTGCATGGGGTCTTTTCCCCCCTCAGAAGTGTTGTGAATGCCTCCCTGAAGATTTTCCTGTCTTTGGGCTGTAGTACTGGCTGCTGCAGCATCCAATACTTCCACAGAGAAAATACCCAGAGAATAAGTCACCAGTCTCTCTTTTTTTTTCCTTTTTCTTTTCTTTTGGTTTACTTTCTAATCAAAAAATGGAACCAACTTTTAAAAGGATGTTTTGAGTTTCAGAAAGACCAGTGAAGTGATTAAAATGGTTTTCTTTACATACTCTCGCTGCTCTGTGCCTGCTCCCCGTGGAGCGGCTCAGTTTTAATCTTTTTTTTTCTTTGTTTTTCCTGCACAGCTGCTTTCCTTTGCCTGTGTCTATATGTTGCCATTGTGGAACGTTTACTGTCTAACAATCACATCTAAACTGGATTCATGTTGCAGCTTGTTCTCCAGAGCCAACAGGTGTTGCCTGCTAATGTGGCATTTCTAATAACACAGTAATGAGATTACCAGTAATGTAGAGTTCGCATAGACGTGACTGAGATGATTGCTTCTCCTCTTCCAGCACTTTTACTATTGACAACAGCAAACTGTGCTTATTCCAGCCTGAGAGCAGATTTCATGCAAAAAGAAAAGTCTCGACAAGTAGTGAAGCAACTTCTGACTGCATGTATCGCCGACATGTTTCCAGCGTTGCACTGAGTCACAGTGATTCACATCAACATATTTTTTTTCCTCTAACTTTCCTGTTAGATGAGCCATCTGTTCTGGAGTTTAGAACTGCAGTAAACAAGGTTTTACTGTTTGTCCTCACTCTGTTTCTGCAAGAGGAGAGCAGATTTTTCTGATTGCACAAGCAGGACTGCGCAGCTTTTGCTGATGCAAAGTAGAAATAAGAATACACTTTCTTTCTTTTTTTTTCCTGCCACACTACTATGCAGATCAACAATATCTTGGTGTCATGAAACGGTGCAGTTTTTGTTACCAGGCGGTGTTACTGATACGATTTGCAGTACATTTATCTGTTTCCGAGTCCATTAACTCTTGCCTTTTAAATAGTTTGTTTGTTATGTTTTGTTTCTAATCTCCTTTAGGCTTTCACATCACTTCCTCATCTTCACTGCTATGATCTCCTGTGCTGTTAGTCACTGATGAGTAATGACAGTGGAGTTTGGGAAAATTGTGCTTGATTAAATTCAGTGTGACTCATCACTTGGCGACCTCAAGGCAACTACAGGAACACAAAATATTTCTGAACAGATGTACAGTTTGGGTAAAGGAAAGCTGAAATCTCAAGTCATCTTTAAAGTCGTGCGCTCTCTGCTTCTCTCAGTCCTTCCCGCTCTCGTGCTCACTCGCATCCGAAACTCCTTTGGTTTTATTTTATTGAGCTGCCAACTGACAAAGATAGCTGGCCTCGGTTGCTTTGCTGTCTGATACTTTTTTTCTGTGTACCTGTTTGCCTTGTCTTATATGTTCATTTATGAGTGGGGTGAGTGGAGCTGAGAAGGTCAGTTGAAGCTGCAGCTGGTTTAAAAAGCCTATCCTGTGACTTGACAGGTTGCTGCATTGTGCTGCAGGGCAGGGGACCCACAAGATGGCACGAGGCCAGAGAGAAACTCAGGCAAGGCCCTGCTTAGAAAAATTTGGTGTTGCCTTTGATGCTAAATCCAAAGGCCCAAATCTGATTTCATGATGATGTGTTACTTTAAACATGGAAAAGTCTGGTTTGGTTTGGAAAATGCTTTCAGTGTCTTAAGTAAGCATGGTTGCAATACAGGAGAAGCATTAAGTGAAATTTAGGTTTGAACATCAGTTTTTCATTTCAGTGTGTGCTGTGAAATCAGACGCTTCAGTGGAGATTTTAAAGGCAAGTTACAGGAGAAAAAATCTTATTAAAAGTAGAAAAATATAAAAATGTTTAATTTAGATGTATTCTTGAAAGGGCACCATTGAAGGTTTTTTTTTCTTCTTTTTAGCTGATTCTCAAAGGGTGTAAATGGGAAGATCTGTCATAGGATACATGCAAAATCTGTCTCGGTTTAGATGTGTGCAAGTACACATTTTAGTAGTTAATTCATTTAGTTTTTCATCGCCTTATCGTCTAGATTATTGCATAAATTGTGCAGCCTCTTGAGTAGTGGTGATATCTCAATCAGCATAGAATAAGTGAGGGTTTCCAACATGCTGAGGTTTTATTTAGTGGTTTTTAGCGCCCTCTATTGCCACACATGATCAGCTGCGAAACAAAAAAAGGAAGAGGGACTTGAGGTAGTTTCTGTCTTTGCTTTATAAGATCTCCATGTGAGTTTGCTACTCCGCAGAAACCGACTGTGCACACCTGAGTGACCATGTCAGTCCTGTCTGCAACAGTTCCCGTGTTGTCTGAAGCCTTTTCTTTTTAAAGCTAGTCTTATACTTGTCATAAGGTTTGCTATTTTATTTCTTAATCTTTTTATGTTACACACAGAAGAAATGACTGTAACACTTAAGTGCAGCGCCTCATTTCAAAAGGATGGTTAAATGTTTACATCTTTTGCACAACGTGCCAAATTTCCTTTTCCGAATTTTCTGTATGATGAAGAATAAGAAGGGGTGAAAGTCTTTGGAAAACAGTCTCGGAGGACTTGTTCCGTGACAGGTTGCTTGCAGTGTGATGAGTATCTTCCCTCCAGTCTCAACTTGTAGAAGCCACTGTGGGCAGGACTGCTGTTATCTGCTGGTCTTGTGTCAGTTTTATGATAGAGAGGGGATTAAAAATGGTCGTTTGCGTGTTTCCATGTCTTAAAAACGTTAAAATATTCTTTAAAATATCCATTAGAGGAGTAACAACTCTGAAACATAGCTCAACGAAAGTCATCCCCAGTATCATATCATGGTTCCATCTTTTCGTAGCGCGATTAACTGTTTGGAGCCATTTAATCAAAAGTAAAAGCGTGCTAGGCTGCACCACAATAATGCAGAACATTTTGTTTTGGTTGTGATCCAATTATGACCAAGTGATCTTGTGCGTATAAAAAAATAATTTTAGGTATGATGATGACGCACAAACCAAAAAATGCCTATTGAAATAAATTTACAAGGGAAAACATCGAGTAAGAAGAATATTACTGACAATCCTGCAGATGGTCGTCTTCTTTAATAACATAAAAAGTGAGCATGAGTCAGTAAATAAGAGCATCCTACCCACTGAGCCACTAGACATTATTTATTTCGCTGTGGAGGGAAACAAGGGGTTATTTGCTAGAGTTAAACAAGAAAAGGAAGCTTGAAGCAAAATCTTTGTGTTCGTTCAGCTTTTCCTTTAAACGGAGAAAAGTTCAGTCACGACTTGTCAAAAACCTGGGATGTTTTCCCCCTATCGGCCCACCTCAAATCCCCTCATAGGATTAACAGGAGAAGGGCCCTCTCTCTAATAAGTGAAAAGCCCTGCTGAGACATCCAGCTCAGGACTGCTTAAGCTTCTCCGTCTTCTGCTACGAGCGGCTGTGCCAATGTAAATGAGTCGGGGCACAATAGGGGCAGATCATGCACAGCAGACAATACACTGTAAAAGTCTCATCAACTGGTAATGACAGATAATAACAGTAATCAATATGGGTGGGATATGGGGTGGGGTGTGAGCTGGTGGGTTAATGTGTTTTCTGAGAGGCATGTGGCTCCGCAGAATGGCTGGTATTCACATTACGAGGTGGCTGATGCAACCCGAGGGTTCACAGATGTAAAAGTGTATATTTTTGTATATACCTACATCAGTGTGTGTACAGTATGTACATATATACACAGTGTACTCAGCTGCAGTTCCTAGTTTTGTTGTCAGACTGTACAGCGCTTCTAACTGTTCCCTGTTTTATAGATAATGCAGAAATTCAACTTTGAATGAGGAGAAATGATTAACTTAAATAAATACATTTATATATATAAACAAAAGGGTGTGACGTGTTTTGCCTTTTCATTTTTGCTGTTCAAGTTTTGACAGTCGACAACCCTAAATATGCACCATATGTACAGGGATAAAAAGGTTAAGTGTTGTTGAATCCATCTGTCAGCTGGAAGTAAATCCAGTTCTCTCAAGTTTTCCTTCATTGGTTGATCTTTTAGCGATTTGCAGTGTGGCAGCTGTGCATGAATTTTACATGTATTCTTAGGCTTTAATATTTAAAGAAGAAAAGTTTTCCATCCGTCAGTCAAGCATTGTAGCGCTCTGGCCGAGTGCATTAGTGTGAGTATTGTGCTACAGGGCAGCATATGAGTGACAAAGCAAAATCAATGCAAGACTTTTATAAATGAATGATTTGGCAGCACAATGTGACTCTAATAGATAATGACAGATAATCTACTCCCAGTCACTTTATTAGGTACACCTGTTCAACTGCTAGTTAATGCAAATATCTAATAAGCAAATCACATGACAGCGATTCAATGCATTTAGGGTGTATGGTCAAGATGATGCATCCTGCAACGATACAACTGAGCATCAGCGTGGGAAAGACGTTGAACATCGCATGGTCTGGTCTTATGCAGAAGGGCGTTTCTAAATGCACAACACGTTTGCGCTTGAAGCAGATGGTCTACAGCAGCAGAAGACCACATCGTGTGCCACTTTTCTTGGCTAAGAACACGAAACTGAGGTCACAATTCACATGAGCTAACCAAAACTGGACAATAGAAAACTGGAAAAACATCGTCTGGTCTGATGTCTCTTGATTTCTACCGTGACACTTTGAGCCCCTTAGTGTTAACTTTGACTATTGATTATGGGTCAAAGGATTTATTGACCACAGTTTACCATCTTCTGATGCCTGCTGCCATCAGGATTGAGTGCATCATGATTAGCAGTGTGGCCATGCAGCTGACAAATATAGAAACGGGTTTCTTCAAGATGACAATCCAATACAACTCAATCCAATAGAGCACCTTTCAGATGTGTTGGGATCATGGGTGTGTAGCCAACAAATCTGCAGTTACTGTGTGATGCTATTATGTCACTATGGACCAAAATCTCAGAGGAATATTTCCAGCGTCTTGCTAAATGCAACCAGATACTAGCAAGACTGACAAAATAAAGTGTCTCGTGAGTGTATATTATGTACATTATAAAGCATCCCTTGAATTTTAACAAAATGAAGACTTATACTTCTTCCATTAGTCTGCCCCAAGTCAGATGTACAGCCTAAAAATATGACTGTATATTAGACTACTCAAAAAATTATGGGAACATTTTGAAAAGACATCAGATCTCAATGGGAAATAAGATGCTGGATACCTATACTGATATGGACTGAGTAATGTGTCAGGAATAAAGGAGTGCCACATTGTTTAATGGAAATTAAAATTATCAACTTACAAAGGACTGAATTCAAAGTCACCCCAAAAATCAAAGTGGAAAAAATGTTCCAGAAGGTTAATACATTTTATTGCAGCAACTCAAAATAGTTCCCATTTGTTTGTATGCCCCCCACGTGCTTGTATGCATGCATGCTCTTAATGAGACGATAGATTGTCTGAAGGAAGGTCCAAGGATTTAGTCCTGATACCTAATTGCAGTCTCAGGGAGCTGTTGCCAGGCCTGTCGAGGCCTGTGCGTCGCTCCATGGATGTGTTTCCCCAGACCAATGCTGACCCACCAACACTGATGATTAAAGATATTACAGGCAGCAACATTCCCCACAGCTTTTCCAGGTGCTTTCATGTCTCTCAAATGTGTTCAGAGTGAACCTGCTCTCATCTGTGAAAAGCACAGGGTGCCGGTAGTGGACCTGCCAATTATGGTATTCTATGGTAAATGCCAGTCTGGCTCCATGATGTCAGGCAGGTCCCACTAGAGGATGCTGGGACTTCAGACCACCCTCATGAAGTCTGTTTCTGATTGTTTGGTCAGAGACATTCACACCAGTGGTCTGTTGGAGGTCGTTTTGTAGCTCTGACAGTGCTCATCTTTAACTCTAGCAGATACCTATCCTTCTTATGGGTTGAGGACCACCTTCGGCCCTGTCCAGCTCTCCTGGAATCTTCTCCATACTTATGACAGTGCTGGGAGACACAGCAAACCTTCTGGCCACGACACGTATTAATGCGTCATCTTGGAGGAGTTGGACTATCTTTGCAACCTCTGTAGGGTCCAGGTATTGCCTCATGCTACCAAAAGTAATACTGAACCTAGCTAAATCCAAAACTAGTAGGGAAAAAAAAGTCAGAAAAGATGAGGATAAAAAACAAATGTCAGTGATTTTGCCTGTAAAATCAGCATGTTTATTTTTGTCTCATTGTTGCACCTCAAAGTGCACCTGTTGTTAATTTCATTAACACTAAAGCAGCTGAAACTGATGAACAACCCCCTCTGCTACTTAACTGACCTGATAAATATCCCAGAAGATGTTATACTCTGATTAAAAAGTGTTTCTTTAATTCTTTTGAGAGGTGTATATGGACTTACTGATCTATATAAGATGATGACAAATATCATAAGTATATCCAGACTGTGTTCATCCTAAACCTTTGAGATAAATATATTTTAGGCCCTATGTATATTTAGCACCACAAGAAGTCATTGACTTTGTGGTTTTCTTGGTGCTTCTCTTTTCTTTCTTCTCTTTCTTCTCACCCTCCAACAACTCGATGCAGATGGCTGCCTCTCCCTGAGCCTGGTTCTTCCTGTTAAACAGCAATCCTTCCTCCCAGCTTTTACCAAGAGGTTCCTTACAGGGGATCATCTGATTGCTCGGTTTTTCTCAGTAATGTGTGTTTTCATTTACATCTCTTGCTTTGTGTCCTTGTCATGTTATACATTATTACGTTATATATATTTTGGATGTGTAACCAGGTCTTCCTGAACCTTTGGAACGCCTGGGGCTGTGCTACATTGGACAGATTAGCAAGCTTCTTCTTTGGCTCTCGGAGGAGGCGGACACATTTTTTGTCCTCTCCCTTATCTTCCCTGCTTATGTCCTTGTCTAGTCTCGTGGGGTTTTTTGTATTTTCCCTGGAACACTCTCTCACAGTCTGTTCTCTAAAACCTAAAAGAGGAATTATGGATTGGATCAACTGGTCCCTAAATGCAATTGACACCCCTTTCTCAACGAGAAGTTTGGGCTTGGGTGAGCCTGAGTGCTGAAGATATCTACCTGTTCGGAACCATGGTAACAGGGTTCTGGCTGATCGGAGCTGGCTTGGCACTGTTTTATTGAAGAATTAAGAAAGCGTAACCGGCTGTTCAAACCCCCACAAGGCTGCCCGCTGGGATTGGAATGATGGGAGAGGCGTGAGTTTCTCAAAATGGGCTCATTGAGTCAGCACGGATAAGATCTTGGAGAGGCTACGGCTGCTGTGTATACTCAGAATAAGATCTCTGACTGCAGACTGGATACATCTCGGAAGGGCTAGCCTGGAATAACATCTCTGGGCACAAAATTGGATGACATCTCGGGGAGGCACACTGCCGTGAGTTCTCAGAAAT